TCTGAGGTATCATTGGCAAATATGTTTTCCCATACAGTTGGTTGTCTTTAATTTAATACTGTTTTCTTTAGCCATGCAGAAGCTTTTTATTTTGATAAGATCCCATTTGTTTATTCTTTCCTTTATATTCCTTGCTCTAGGGCACATATCTGTAAAAATGTTGCTGCGTGGAATATCTGAGATTTTCTTGCCAATGTTCTCCTCTAGGACTTTAATGGTGTCATGGCTTATATTTAAGTCTTTTATCCACCTTGAATTTATTTTGGTGTATGGTGTAAGTTGGTGCTCAAGTTTCATTTTTTTGCACGTAGCTGTCCAGTTCTCCCAACACCATTTGTTGAAGAGGCTATCTTTACTCCATTTTATGTTACTGCCCCCTTTGTCGAATATTAATTGACTGTAGAGAGTTGGGTTGATTTCTGGGCTCTCTGTTCTGTTCCATTGGTCTATGTGCCTGTTTTTATGCCAGTACCAGGCTGTTTTGATTACAGTGGCCTTGTAATACAGTTTGATATCAGGTATTGTGATCCCCCCTACTTTGTTCTTCTTTCTCAAAAGAGCAGCTGCTATTCGAGCTCGTTTATGGTTCCATATAAATTTTCGAAGTGTTTGTTCTATGTCTGTGAAATATGCCATTGGTACTTTAATAGGTATTGCATTGAATCTGTATATTGCTTTGGGTAGTATGGACATTTTGATAATGTTAATTCTTCCAATCCATGAACAAGGTATATGTTTCCATTTGTTTGCGTCTTCCTTGATTTCGTTCTTCAGGGCTGTGTAATTTTCTGCATACAGGTTTTTTACCTCCTTGGTTAGGTTTATTCCCAGATATTTTATTTTTCTTTTTGCTATATCAAATGGGATTTTTCTTTATTTCTGCTTCTGCTGATTCACTGTTGGTATACAAAAATGCCTTTGATTTCTGGATATTGACTTTATAACCAGCTGTTTTGCCAAACTCTTCAATTAGTTTGAGCAGTTTTTGGGTAGAGTCTATAGGATTTTCCATGTACACTATCATGTCATCTGCAAACAGTGACAGTTTTGTTTCCTCCTTTCCTATTTGAATGCCTTTTATTTCCTTTTCTTGCCTGATCGCTGTGGCTAAAACTTCCAATACTATATTGAATAGAAGTGGTGAAAGTGGACAACCTTGTCTTGTTCCTGATCTTAGTGGAAAAGCTTTAGTTTTTTCCCATTGAGTATGATATTGGCTGTAGGTCTCTCATATATGGCCTTTATTATTTTGAGAAATGCTCCTTGTACCCACTTTGCTGAGTGTTTTTATCATAAATGGGTGTTGTACCTTATCGAAAGCTTTTTCTGCATCTATTGATATGATCATGTGATTTTTGTCTTTGCTTTTGTTTGTGTGATGTATTACATTTACTGATTTGCGAATATTGAACCATCCTTGCATTCCTGGGATGAATCCTACCTGATCATGGTGTAGGATTTTTTGATATATTGTTGGATGCGATTTGCCAATATTTTGTTGAGGATTTTAGCATCTATGTTCATCAGCGATATTGGCCTGAAGTTTTCTTTCTTTGTTGTGTCTCTATCTGGTTTTGGAATTAGGATGATGCTGGCTTCATAAAAAGAATTTGGGAGTTTTCCATCCTTCTGAATTTTTTGAAATAGTCTGTGGAGAATAGGGGTTAGCTCTTCCTTAAATGCTTTGTAGAATTCCCTGTGAAACCATCTGGTCCGGGGCTTTTGTGTGATGGGAGTTTTTTGATTACTGTTTCAATTTCTTTTGCTGTTATTGGTGTATTTAGATTTTCTGCTCTTTTTCACTGAGTTTTGGAAGATTGTATTTTTCAGAAATGTGTCCATTCCCTATGTTTTCAAATTTCTTGGCATACAGTTCTTCATAGTAATTTCTTACAATCTCTTCTATTTCTGTGGTATCAGTTGTAATCTTCTCCTTTTTCATTTCTGATTGTGTTTATTTGTGTCCCTCTCTTTTTCTTGATGAGCCTACTTAAAGGCTTGTCTATTTTGTTTATCTTCTCAAAGAACCAACTCCTGGATTCATTGATCCTAAAATTGTGCTTTAGTTTCTATGTCATTTAATTCTGCTCTAATCTTGGTTATTTCCTTCCTTCTGCTTGCTCTGGGCTGTCTTTGTTGTTGTTCCTCAAGTTCTTGCAGGCGGTGGGTTAGGTTGTTTGTTTGAAATGTTTCTATATTCTTTAGGTAGGCCTGTATTGCTATAAACTTCCCTCTCAGGACTGCCTCGCTGTGTCCCATAAGTTTTGGGTTGTTGTGCGATCATTTTCATTTGTTTCCAGAAATGTTTTGATTTCTTCCCTAATTTCATTCTTGACCCATTCGTTGTTTAATAGCATACCATTCAGTCTCCATGTTTTTGGGTGCTTTGGGTTTTTTTTTGGGGTTGGTTTCTAATTTCATGCCTTGTGGTCAGAGAAGATGCTTGGTATGATTTCAATTTTCTTGAATTTGTTGAGGCTCAGTTTGTGTCCTATCATGTGGTCTATCTTTGAGAATGTTCCATGTACATTTGAAAAGAATGTGTATTTAGTTTCTTTGGGATGAAGGGCTCTATATATATCAGTTAAGTCCATTTCATCTAGGGTGTTGTTTAATGCCACAATATCTTTTTTGATAATTTGTTTGGAAGATCTGTCCATTTTTGATAGTGGGGTGTTCAAATCCCCTACTATGATTGTGTTGCTGTCAATATCTTTCTTGAAGTCCTCTAAGATTTTCTTGATATATTTGGGTGCCCCTATGTTTGGTGCATATATGTTTACAATGTTAATGTCTTCTTGGTGGATTCTTCCCTTGAGTATAATGAAATGACCTTCTGGGTCTCTCTTTACAGCCTTTTTTTTGAAGTCTATTTTGTCTGATATGAGAATTGCTACCCCAGCTTTTTTTCTTGTCCGTTTGCTTGGAACACTTGTTTCCAGCTTCACTTTTAGTCTGTGATGGTCTTTTGTCCTGAGGTGAGTCTCTTGTAGGCAGCATATGTGTGGGTCATGCTTTCTTATCCATTGAGCTATTCTGTGTCTTTTGATTGGAGCATTTAATCCATTTACGTTTAGGTTATTATTGATAGGTACTTATTCATTGCCATTTTTGTACCTGTGTTCCTCTCTGTCTCCCTCTTATCCTTCCTTCCCTTAAAGCAGTCCTTTTTAGTATTTCTTGTAGAGCTGGTTTGGTGGAGGCATATTCTTTTAGACTTCTTTTGTCTTGGAAGCTCTTTATTTGGCCTTCTATCTTGATTGAGAGCCTTGCTGGGTAAAGTAGCCTTGGTTGTAGGCCTCTGGTTCTCATTATTGAAATATTTCTTGCCATTCTCTTCTTGCTTGAAGTGTTTCCATTGAGAAGTCGGTAGCTAACCTATTGGGGCTCCCTTGTATGTTATTTCCTTTTTCTCCCTTGCTGCCTTTAAGATTCTCTCTTTGTCTTGGAATTTTGCCATTTTGATGATGATGTGTCTTGAGGTGGGCCTCCTTGGGTTCCTCTTGATTGGGACTCTCTGTGATTCCTGGATTTGTGAGACCTTTTCTCTTATCAAATTAGGAAAATTTTCTCTCATTACTCGTTCAAATACGTTTTCTATCCCTTGTTCTTCTTCTTCTCCTTCTGGTATTCCTATTATTCGTATATTATTACGTTTCATATTGTCTTGCATTTCTCTTTAATCCCTCTTCATTCTTTCTGAGCCTCTTTTCATTTTCTTGCTCTTTCTGTGAGATGCTTTCACCCTGTCCTCCAACTCACTAATCCTATCCTCCGCTTCATCTATCCTACTTTGGAAACTTTCTACAGGTACTTCAATTCGGAAATTGTATTCTTCATTTCCTCTTGTCTCTTGCTGATGGTTTCCATTTCTTTTGTGTTGCTGTAGTTTGCAGAGAGATCATTATAACTTCCCTGTAGTTTCTGGTAGCTCACTGTGAGTCTTTGAGCTCTTTGAACTTCGTAATAACCAGTGCTTTGAATTCACTGTCTGATAGTTGATCAGCGTATTTCATCTAACATTCTTTCTGAAGTTTCTGCTTTTCTTTCATTTGGGGATTGTTTTTGTCTTCCCATTGTTTGAGACCTTCTTGTTAGTCTCTGCTTCCAAAATTGATCTGTTCTGAAACACTGGTTTTATGGTGTAAACTTCTGTGGTATGTTCCTTGTGAAGTTCAGTGGTACAGACTCCTTGAAGTTTCTTGATGTTCTTCTTGTCTCCACCTACACCACGTGGTCCTCGCAGGTCTCTGCATTGGTCGCCCACCACTGCTGAATGTCCCGGCTCTAGTAGCCGCCTCCTCAAGCACAGGCCCGTTACTAGGGCAGTGGCACAGAGGCTGGGGATGTCCTGGCTCCCGTATCTGGCCTCTCTGCCGCCCAGGGCCGTCACAGGGGCTTGAGTGTCCTGGTTTCCGTACCTGACTCCCCGGCGTCTAGTCCTGTCTCTATGGCAGTGGCACAGAGGCTTAGAAAGTCCCAACTCCCGTACCTGATTCCCCAGTGTCCAATCCCCTTGCTATGGCAGCAGCACAGGGGTTGTGACCCTCCCAGTTCCCGTAGAGGGATCCTCTGCCACCCAGGGCTGTCTCAGGGGTTTGGAGTGTCCAGGCTTCCGTACCTGACTCCCCGACGTCCAGTCCCGTCGCTATGGCAGCGAAACAGGATTTGAGATCTTCCGGCCGTAGTGTCCCTCAGTGCGCCACAGGGGTTTGGAGAGTCCCAGCCCGTACCTGACTCCCGCGTCCAGTCTGTCGCTATGGCAGCGGCCCAGGATTTGAGATCTTCCTGGCCCCGAGTTGTCTCCCTCAGCTGCGCCACAGGGGTTTGGAGAGTCCCGGCCTCCGTACCTGACTCCCGGCGTCCAGTCCCGTCGCTATGGCAGCGAAACAGGATTTGAGAGCTTTGGCCCGAGGCCTCAGCGCGTCACAGGGGTTTGGAGCGTCCCGGCTTCCGTACCTGACTCCCCGGCCAAAATTTGTTTTAAATTATATCAGAGATATTCGATACACTTTAACTTTCCATAAAAACTGAATAAAAATCACATTTTAATGACTTACTTTTAAATTTTTATCTGATTGTATTTGGTACATTATAATCCAACCACAGGAGACAGATTATCTCCTGAGAGATGTAAGAGTTGTTCATGAATGCCCTGTAACAGTGAAACCAGCAATTTTTATTTATGTGTTTATGTGCGCACTTCAAAAAGCAAAGCGTCATCTCTTCATCCATTAACTTAAAGGTAAGAATGGGGACCACCAGACACTGGTGGAGCACCAGTAGGTCCCAAAGGCACTTGAAAAGCATTATTGGCAGTGGGACAGAGGCCTGGTGTGGGATAGAATCCTGCAGGTGCAGGGTATGGTGCTGGTGGTTCCCGGGGCTCCTGGTGGAACGGTGACCCTATGGGACCAGTGGTGCTGCTGTAGTGCTTGGGGAGAAGGAGGTGCAGGGTATGGCCCTGGAGACAGATGTGGTGCATGAGGGGTAGGATGATGCCTTCCCATTCCTGGTGCCCAAGGTCCAGAAGACATGGATCCCCACGGACCTAACAGACCAGCTGCAGCTGGGTCAGTGGGTGCACCATATGGCTGTGGAAGCTCTGGAAAGGGCATATTTGATGTAGGACATGGCCCGGTGGGGCCAGGACCTGGCACCGCTGGAGCTGGATGAGGACCACCAGGTGTGGGGCATGATGGTCTAGAAGGAGGAAAGTGTGCTGGGGGTCCTGGAGGTGGTCCAGTGGGAGGCACGGAGGGACACATTCCTGTTGGTGCTGGTCCAGAAGGCACAGTGGAGGGTGTTGCACTTGGTGGGAGTCCAGATGGCACGGAAGGTGGAGCACCTGGGCTATACGAAAGGCTGGAACCTGGCCAGCCTTGAGGAGGTCGGCCAGGGTTAGTACTGCTCACAGCGAGGTCTAGAAGCAGTGATGGACCCAAGGAAACGGAAAGCTGAAGAACCAAGAGCAGCCTGGCTGACAGCGGCCGTGACAATGACACCAGCAGTGCACTCTACCATTATAGATTTAGATCAAGACATACTACTGGCAGAATTTATACTATAACAGAAATTAAACAACATAAGACCAGTACTGTTTCTGATACTATATACATGGCAACAACACTGGTTGCTATTTGTAGTTCTATTCAACCATTCATTCATTCAAGATATACAACTAACAGTGAGTGAACAATCTTCTTTTTCTTTGTAGCACTTAGCACACTTGCTAATTTTCTTACCTTTACTGCGTATATGTGCATCTGTTTCTCTTTACATGCCCCGAGGGAAGGCACTGCATGTACTTTGCCACCACAGCCCTGGACCTTAGTAGCATGTGCTGGAGAGGAGGGCCAAGTACCTGTTACCGGCGTGAATACTGCCACGTGTTGGTCATCGGCCTGAGCCGGCTAATCATCTCAATGCTGTCCTCCAGTAGTTCAGGCATGTTTGATGTCTTCTCAGTGGAAGCAGTGAACAGCTGTTTTCTCTTCAGAACAATTTCCAGCAGCCTAACCCAGCTATTAAAAGGTATTTGGGAAATTCCCCACTAAGCAGGATCTGATTTACCTTGCCTTCATCAGATCCTCCTTCTCCAACACACAACGAACAGAATGGCTGAGGCACCACTGAGTAAGTACAAGAGAACACCCCTCTCCACAACCTCATGGACGCAGAGAAAAAAGAAAACACCATCAAACATGCACCTGGAAGGGAAGGAGAGTAAGTATCGTGTCCTACCAGTCAGTAGTGGCATGGTTCCTCCGAGCACTGGAGACTTCAGAAGCTGCTGTGGCAAACCCAGTTAAACAATCATTGTAGTGGCCATGATAAAGGAAAATCTGAAACTGGTTAATGCCTCCGATTTTTTAAAAAGTGAAACAAAATGGCCTGTAATTTCATGATAAAGAAAGGCAATAAACTGAAAACCTAAGCTCAAATTAATTCTTTAATAGTATGACGACACTGCAAAATAAAGTCCTTTTGCTAGTATTGCAATTATATAAATAATTTTATTTAGAATGTAAGACCTGGAAAAATACAAGAGTCAATACTGAGAGGAACTCTTACCTTTCATTCTGTATACAATAAAATGGCACTTTGATAATACTGGCGTTTTCCAAATGATCGCTTCTGCAATTTTAGCATCAAACACTCCTTTTCAATACTTTCCTGTTTCAAAAACTATTTCATATCATTCAAACATGTCTGCATCTACTGTGTATAAATCAACCTTTCAAAACTGAATCATATTTACAACACACTAAAGAAAATTACTGTTTCCTTTTCTTTCTAGGCGAGTGTTCCAAAAGGGGGGCAAATTCAGCCTCCTCGCTGTGCTTTCTTTTCTTTTTTTTCTTTTTATGGTCACTCTGGTAACCACTGGAGTCACTGGCTGGAAAAACAGGGTCCTGATCCTGCTTCTTTTTCTTCTTCTTTGGCTCTTTGCCCCCGAGGCCATTCTCACTGCTGTTCACCTGCAGGTCTGCGAAATCTGCTGGCTCTGTGGAGCCACCTGCTCCTTCATCTGGCTCTGGGTCTTTCTTCTTTTTCTTCTTCTTCTTCTTTGGCTTTTCATCCCAGAGGCCATTCTCACTGCTATTCACCTGCAGGTCTGTCCCTTCCTCCATGGGGACATCTGCAAAATCTGATGGCTCTGTGGCGCCACCTGGTCCTTCATCTGGCTCTGGGTCTTTCTTCTTTTTCTTCTTCTTCTTTGGAAGTTTTTCAAAAAGTTCTTCGGGGCCAGTTTCTGTTACTTCTTCAGAAACTGCAGAGCACTTGGTGTGTAAACTGTAAGTTAACAGGTTAAATCTTTACTGAGTAATAAGCAACAAAAAGGGATCAAGAGTATTCATTCCAGCATGCTTTTTCCTAAATGACAGCGCTATGAGACACACAACTGTGGCATAAATTTCAAATATTCTTTCCTATCACACTCAGCCCACTGAAGTGTTAAAATTACTGTATCCCAAATACTTCTCCCAGACTGTTTTCACACGTAAACAGGACATAAAAAGACTGTCAAAGCATGCCTTCTACATTTTGGTTTTGCTCAGAAAAATCTGGTCACTGAACAATGAACATTACAATAACCCAGGCTTATTAGTCAAACCACTGACATGTGAGGAAGAGAAAATACACTTCTGTTATGTATCAAAAGACTGGGAGTTTCCTGTCTACTATCTCAATCCTTGTTTTAAATAACAGTTCACTGTTCTTCTTAACCTACTTAGAAGCCTATCACTTCACAATTGTGAATTACATGACTGAAATAAAACCCAGACTCAGTGACGCAGCCCCGTCTCCAGAACTGCAGCCCTACAGAGTGGCACTAGCCACAGACAGCTGTTTAACCAGGTAACTTTAAAAACTCGGCCCCTCAGCCACACTAGCCACACGTCAACTGCTCGACTGCGGGGCTACTGGACTGGCCTAATTCAGCACGACTGCCATCGCTGAAAGTTCTACTGGACAGCTGCTGGAGGACTTGAGCCGAAACTCTGTTACTTATCAGAGCGGAACCTAGAAAAATGGTTCACTTAACATCAGCAGTATTTTAAGAGTTCCCCTGCCCCCATTACAGTTGGCTCCCCAAGCTCGAGATTCAAGACCAGAGTAATTAAGCATTCCAGTATGGAAAAATATAGATATTAGATTATCTACCTGGCATAATGACGACAATCAAATTATTTGTTTCAGGTTAATTAGTTATACAACATGATTAAACTTTTAGTTTCAAGCTCAGTACTATTTAAAAAATTAACAGACTAGAAAATATTCAGTAAGATGGAATTATTAAAATGCAGACCAGTTAGCTAGATACAGACTTTAGAATATCTAATGCATTGTTACAGTGCTTATTATTTACAATGACTTCCTGGTTTGAAAGCATACTCTAATAAAATGTTATACATAGATATACATTTATATCTATGCATATATACACACACACACACTTTTTTCCCAAAAGAAGGTTTATGATCTCTAAATTTAGAATTAAATACAAACAAGTATCAAAATGATACTTAAGTATCAAAATCATGTTATGATAATAACATGATTAGGAACTGACCTCGTGACATTCAGTTTTCCCCGAATGCAGAACACTCCAGCAGCATCTGAGTCTAAACGAAATACTTCAAATTCTAGCTCATCGCCCACGCTGACCTCCAGGCCCTGCCACTGCTCAGCCGGCATCTGCTCAGGCTTCGGGATGGAGGCATTGAAACACCCGTGCACCAAGCAGCCGATGTGGCTGGAGGACACTTTATTAACTGTACCCTGAGAACGAGAAAGGAGAGTGTGACATCCACGATCCAGAGAGTTAACAGATAAATCAAACTTTATAAGCTTCAAACTGATCTTCAAAGAGGAAACATCAACATAATGGCATGATTTGATGTGAAAAAAGTTTATCTCAATTAAAACTTACTGCATGTCATACTAAAGCACTGTTTTAGAACACTGTGGAGTTTTTACAGAGCTCAAAGTTTATCAGGTAAGTAATTGCACATGGATCACCTGGCTGGGTGAACAATGACCCTTCCCTCCACACCCCACAGACCCACTCAGCTCTGACCTGAGCACGTGCTGGGGAGCAGAGCACTCCGTAACTGCAGTGCAAGGAGGCAGAACTTACTCTTTGATGTGACCTACGCTCGAAAAGACCTCAAGGCAGAAAGTGTGTGCTTTTTATCACTAGGATCTACATTGTCTTGCTATACAAAGTCTACTTTCAAAACTTAGAGAGCGTTCCTATTAGAAGACAGCCTATCCTTTATATGTAAATCTTAAGCACAGCTGTTTGAACTGAATCGCAAAAACACTAGAAGCTTCAAAACTAAAATAAAGTATGAGCTATATAATTTAAAGCTTGAATGAGAATTTCCAAAAAACTTAGTTTTCCATTCTTCCCCTAGGAATCAACATAGATAACAATACTGTTAAAAACCTAAAATACTTTCAAAAATCATATATTTTGAATTACAGGATTTTAAACAATATTACCATGTATCAAATGCTGCTTATTGTAAGCAACTCCTTACACATATAGAATAAAATTCCCTTGTCATTATCGGGAGACTGGCGTCTGTTGAGGTCCAAAACAGATGTTGAAAAGGGACAATCCCGAACGAGCCCCGGATAAAGTTAGGCTGACCAGGAGCAGGGAAATTTTTACTTCCTAAAAGGGCTAACCGCCAATTTCCCTAATGAGCCAATGGCAATCAGCTGTTTAGAGCTAGCCAATAGCTAACAGCCACATCTGCTTCTGTTCAAAGCTTGCTTGCATACCCCTATATAAGGACACAGCTGTAAGCGCCGGGCCGCGGCTCTCATCCGCAGCTCTCCTAAGCATAGTGTCCTCGAACACTCAGAGAGCTCGCCCCTGCGCAGGTAAAACTTGGCCAATAAAGTAACATCTTGAAAATTCTGAAAGTCTCCGAACCTCTGTTTCTCGTGATGGCGGATGCAACAGCGTCCACAATAGTACCTTCTGCATGCTCTGGACAAACTGGTGTATCTATAAAATGGAGCCCTGGCTGCTGTGGCTCAGTGGATTGAGCGCTGGCCTTCAAACCAAAGCGTTGCTGGTTCAATCCCCAATCAGGGCACATGCCCGGGTCACAGACCAGGTCCCCAGTTAGAGGTGTGTGAGAGGCAACCACACATTGATGTTCCTCTCCTTCCCTTCCCCTCTCTCTAAAAATAAATAAAATGTTTTTTAAAAATGGAGTATTATTCAGAAATAAAAAGAAATGAGCTATCAAGCCATGAAAAGACATGGAGGAATCTGAAGGGCACCCTGGTAAATAAAGAAGCAAACGTAAAACGGCTACACAGTGTACGGGTCCCACTGCATGGCATTCTGACAAGGGCAAAACAAGGGGACAGCGGAGAGAGCAGCAGTGCAGGGCTTCAGAGGGGGAGGCAGGGGTGAGCAGGTCGAGCAGAGAGCACATGTAAGGCGGTGACCAATTTTTCCATTGAATACTGATGGTAGAGACAAATTATTATAAATTTGTCAAAACCCATAGAATATAAAACAAGGAGTGAACTCTAATGTCAACTACAGTCTATGTTTAATAAAAATGTGTCAATATTGGCTCAACAACTATAACTAATGTAGCACACTAACATATGATGTCCATAACAGAAGAAACAGTGTGTTTGTTCCATTTTTCTACATGTCTGAAATTGCTGTAAAAAAATGGGTAGCAAGTCTACTAATTAAAATACATTCAGCGGAGAAAGTCTTTTCAATATATGGGTCTGGAATGACTGAACAGCTAATGGACAAGAAAATGGACCTGAAGGGTCTACCACATACTATACACAAAAAAATTAAAGCCTGACCACAGACCTAAATGCAAAAGCTAAAACAAAAATTCTGGAAGCTTATAGAAGAAAATCTCCAGAATCTAGGAGCACGCAAGTATCTTAGGATCCAAAAAGCAATAACCATAAAAGTATATGAACTGGATGAACTGGACCTCACCAAAATTAAAAGCTTCTAGAAATGCTAATTAAAACCCTTTTGAGAAGCTACTATCCTCCACACACCAGTAAAATTAAAAGTCTGACAGCACCAACAGCTGGCAAAGACTAGGAGCAACAGGAAGTGCTGAATAGCAAGTTAGCCTAAAGGCAGTTCTTCATGAAGTTAAACACACATATACCCTGCAACCTAGCAATACTGCTTGTAGTTTTTAACCTAGGAGAAATGAAAATGTGCATTCACAGCAGCTTTACACTAATAGCTCCAGACTGAAAACTACCCAATGTCCATCAATGAAGATAGATAATCAAACTGTGATATATTCATATAACTGAATACCGTGGGCAATAAAAAAGGAACACACTGCAATACTTGCAACAGCATAAATGACACTCACGCTGAGCAAAAGAGGTCATTTTAGAATGCATAATGAAAAAATCCATTAATGTGGAATTACAGGACAAGCAGAACTAATTTATGACCCATGAAATCACAGCAGTGGTTGAAGCTTGGACAGAGAGAGAGGACTGACCAGGAAAAGTGTGAAGGACATTTCTAAGGAGTATGTCTTTGTAAAAATGCACTGAATTACACACAATGGCCTGTACTTTTATTATATGCAAATTACTTCGTATTACTAAAAATAAATAAAAATTGAGCCCTGGCTGGTGTAGTTCAGTGGATTGAGTGTGGGCCTGAGAACCAAAGGGTTGCTGGTTCCATTCCCAATCAGGGTATATTCCGGAGTTTTGGGCCAAGTTTCTAGTGGGGGGGGGCGGGTGCAAGAGGCAACCACACATTGGTTTCTCTCCCTCTGTTTCTCCTTCCCTTTCCTTCTCTCTAAAAAATAAAATTAAATTTTAAAAAACCTACAAATTTAAGACAAAAATGAAAAAAATTGGGAGAAAGGTGGTCAAATGTATTTAAGGACTGAATTTTGTTGTAGGAAACCAAGTACAAGGGATAAATTTACTTTTCATTTTAAACTTTCTTTACATTTGCATGTTATCTCCATGCACATGTTTACATTTGTGATAATTTACATAAAGCAGATGACAGTTAAATTTAGAAATTTTTAAGTACAAATCTACTGCCAACTCTAATAGTATCAAGGCTGGTTGCAGGACTCCAGTTTGGCAGTCCAAATATAGTATTTCTTCTTGTTTAATTGATAGTGAAAAAAATATTTTAAATTAGAAATTCCATGTAGATTTTGTCATAGTAAAAATCTAACCTATATTTTTATTAACAGCATCAAGGATTAGTTATCATCACTAGATTAAGCAATTCCTATATTTTTTAGGTAAGAAAAAATTATATATACATACACACACAAATATGCACATATGAACATATACACACAGAACTGCTGATGAAGACAAGGGCAAGTGAAAAGGATCAAGGAATACATTTCAGTAGATTTCACGTCAATTTTTGCATTTCCAGCTTCTTTTGGAAAACTAAGAGGCCTTTCTACAGGTCCCTTCTCTCATGGCAGAGTTCCCTAACCCTTGATTCATTTTTATGACCTGCCTGGTCCCATGACCATTTTAATTTGCAACTCCTGTGTTACATGATTTGAATCTTTTATTTTTACATTTTTTAAAAAGTATTTTATTTTTAAAGAGGGAGGACAGAGAAAGAGAGGGACAGAAACATTGACTGTTGCCCCTTGCACTCCCCTTACTGGGGAGCTGGCCCACAACCCAGGAATGTGCCCTGACTGGGAACTGACTGGTGACCTTTAGATTTGCAGGCCGAGGCTCAATCCACTAAGCCACACCAGCCAGTACAAATCCTTTCATTTGAAAAACAAACAAATAAACAAAACACCTGTATTTATGTGTAATTGGGAAATTTTTAAATAATAATAAAAACTGATCTTACTTTACACCTTAAGATCCTTCTGCTGCTATACAAAGAGAAGAGTAAATTGGATGGACACATACTTCATACATGCATGTGAGTTTAGGATGATGAAGTTTTAAAACGTACCTAAGTTAAACCGATGAAAATTTTTTTCCATTTATCTTTTAAAGTAATTTTCAGTTATGCACAAAAAAGCAGTCCCAAGGCATATAGTCTCAAGTTTCCAAATTACATAATTATATAACTATGAAGAAAGCTAGAAAACAGATATACATACCATAAGCTTCTGCCCTGATTCAGGGCAGAAAATAACAAAATCCGCTTCGATATTAAGATGAATGTAGCCTTGATCATCATAAATATCTCCCAGTTCACCCACTACTTTGATGTTATCATATGCGATGGGGACACCTGAAAGGCTGTTTAAAAAAAAAAAAAGTAAAAATGGTTATCTTTTATTCTCTTTTAGGCATTGTCATACTCATTAGATAGATATTCTGAGTCCGAAAATATATCTCCTAAATATAGCCACCCAAGCCCAAGCCACTGTATAGTATATGCTTAGTCTGTAACAACTTCTGCCAAGTGTTCAAATGTAATGGCTAAGTTAAAAATAACTATTTAAGACAGGTACCCAGAAATGTCCAAATATGCAAAAAGAGTCCACCTTTCTTCCCTATTTGCTACCCATTTGCATTTTAGTCGTGCCGGAATGAGAGGGAAAAAATAGGACTGGGTGCAAAAAAAAAAAGAAAGAAAGAAAGTCTTCTTTACTTTTGTAACAATGACTGAATAAAAGCAATTTTGGTGTTATACATAATTAACTGAATATATGTATAATATATACATAATTAATACACACACACACTCCCATCTATATTTATTTGCAGTTGTGCAGGTGGGTTATATTACCTGTTAAGGTTCACTGCAGCACAGTAAAGAATGCTTTTGTTTCATTCAGTGCTGCCAACTATTATAAGAGGGAGGTTTTGGGTGCTGTAGGGTTCAGCACTCTTGGCTGGGAAATGTGACCACAGAGCCTAAGCCCAAGCAGACTTGTGTAAACCCTTCAAACCTCTGGGAAAGCAACTCACAGCATGAAGCTTACTAAAAGTCATCAGATGTACAATGACAAACACCTTAACCATGTCTACCTTTTCCCCTTTTACGTTTTTCTGACACCATCCTAAGTTACTTTCAGGTGAGGATATTCAGTGAACAACTAAATCAAGTTTAAGGGATGCTTAGTTTGCACATCTGAGGCTTCTACAGAACCAGTGGAAGGGGACATATCTGCAACCTTCAACTAACTCAAGAGCTGTCACATACAAGAGAAATAAGATTTTCTTTTTTATTAATAGCCGCTCAAAAATATAGCAGTCAGAAGTTACAATATGATTTTAGAAAACTACTTTCTCTAAGCAGACTTTTCAAAATTGACAGGGGACATCTTCAAAGAAATTCCATTACTGGTACAGAAAGGGTGGAAAGTCTGTCAAATAGGGGATGTGGCTGAGATGAGTTGGATAATGTGCACCTCAACTGCTCTCTTTTCCTCGTTTCTTAAAGAGAAGCAAAAAGTCCTCTTGATTCCCTAGCCTGGAAACAAACAACTACACATAATATATTGTTGATTGATAATGTATTACAATTCCGCTAGGTTCCATGTTTTGTCTCTCATTAGTAGTGCACAGTTTAGTGTGAAGTGCCTGACTTGCACTGAATAAACCGGAGTCTTTAGCGTATGTGGAGGGAGAGAGCAGGCAGTGAGGGGAGGGTTCAGTCCAGGCTGCAACCTGTTCCATAATCTGAATTGGCCACACTGCCCAATTCATTTAAAGAAATGCTCATTCAATCAGCTCCTAGTCTCTCTGGTGAAACGACCCCTACGGGAGACACTCTGGGTGACTTTGCCCTAGCCTGTCCAGTGGAGACGTTAACTGATTATAGACAGTTATAAAATATATCAAACAGCTGCCTATGTTTCCAGACTGTATGACCACCTTGTACAGCCATCCTCTCTCAATTGGTCTCCTGTCTACTGTCTCACCCTCCTTAAACCACCATCTAATGCTACCAAATCATAACAAGACTTGAGGTTTAGTTTCTGAAACGCAAACCTGATTAGGACCCAAAGATCAGGAATATGTACTACTCTCTCAACAGTGTGCCAAGTTTCATGGTTGGAGGGTACTGTGTTAACCCTTTTTAAGGAAAAAAGCTGACAAAGGCAGGAAAGAAGAGCAACATGGCCACCCTCTCTGGGTTGTCCCCCACCCCCACCCCACCCTGTCTTTGACCCATTGCCCTCCTCTCCAACTGTACTCATCTCCTTTCCCTGGACAGAAACCTCACTCCAGTTCTTTAATACTTACAATTCTCTGGTCAAAGCATTCTATCTCACATTTACCATCCATTTGTTTATGCCACTCTATTTTCCTGGAATGCTACCATTGTGAAGTATCCTCCTCCTAGAAGTTGTTTTCAAAGGTCCTAAGGTTAAATTCACCACTCCTTCTCTTATTATATATTAATTTAAATGTCTGCCAAATTTTAACACTTCATTGCATTTGGCTTACATATGTATCTCTACTAGAGCTGAAAGTCCCTGAAAGCACAGATCTTGTTTTTTCTTTGTTTTTATACACCAAGTCCCTAGTACACAAAAGAGACACCAAGTGTGGGCTGGTGCCTGGAGGATGCAGTATATTCTGTTGGATTCTTCACCTCATTAGGATTCAAGATTCCTTGAACGGTTTGGATACTTTGCTCAAGGAAACTTAAGTAGGGAATTCCCGCAATTTCCAGGGGCTCATAAAATTCCTGAAGGGTAACAAGGAATCCTTGCAGAATCCACTCACCCTAGTTGTAGAACCCTTGCCTTTGAGTCAAAGCAGTCCAGAAAAGGATTAAGAGACATCTGTCTGCCCCCTTGCCTCCACCCTTGCAATTCTAAGAACTTGAACGTTACTCTCGAAAATTTTAACTTAAATGAACAAGGTCCCCCCCCGACCTTCTCAAGAACAACAAGCAGGCCAGTTGGACTAAAAAACGAAATATAATAAAACTAATAGTATTTCTCTCATCCCTGACCAGATCCAAGAGACAGGGTAAATATCAGGGACATGACAAATAGCAATACCGCCCTTGGCAGTTTACAAATAAAAATTTGCACCAAGGGCCCTGGCTGGTGTGACTCAATGGATTGAGTACCAGCCAGTGAACCAAAGGGTTATTGGTTCAATTCCCAGTCAGGGCGCATGCCTGGGAGCACCAGTAGGCGGCGATCGCGAGGCAGCCACGCACTGATGTTTCTTTCTCTCCCTCCCTTCCCCTCTCTGAAAATAAATATATTTAAAAATTGCACCAAGGCTTCATTTTCTATAGAATGTGAGAGCATCAACTCAAATACTGCATTCCAAACTTTCATTGTCCAAAGAACAAACATACAGAACTGGGCCTCACCGGTCTCCAGACCCCTGTTCTATTCTTACCCGTTTGGCGAAGCTTCTCCAAACCCTCCGCCGCCACAAGTCTCATCACCTTTACGTTTTCATTCTTGCCTAGGAAAAGGGGCTCTGCACGGATCTTGACCAGGGATGTACCCGCCTTTCCCGACTCTAGGGCACCTGCGGGCCGAGCTCCCATTGGCCGGTGGGACTTCCCCCCACACGCCCCCTTTCTCGTGCGCTGTGAGAACTTGCACCCGCCAACGCCTCCCGTGCCCAAATGAAGAGGCGGCAGGCTCCGTTAAGGCGCTGTCTGCACTGAAAAGAAAAAGGCTAAGAAACTGGTACCTTTCGGAATAACGCAGGAGTTCTGCATCGAGCTGTTCTCGAATACCGGTGCGTTTCCGGTGAAGGTAGCGCGGCGACAGTGCGATGTGTCTGCGGTGCGGCCCCGCCACGAGGCAGGAGTAGCGGCTGTTCAACAATGCACACGCGGCAGCGTAGGTCGGCAGCTCCAGACAAGGAAGGACGCCGGCGGACCCCACCACCGGCCCCTCGGAGGCCGCTTTTGGCCGCGGAGCTCCAGAACCTGCAGCCATGCGGCTGGCCAGGTTTCCCCCGGCGCGCACCACTGACGCAACCGTAACCCCTACTTCCGGACGCAAGTTGTACGCCATCAGCCTTCTGCCACGCCCCTTATAAATTTCTCTCCTTGTGCTACATCACGCAGCTCTGACCAGCAGGGGGCAACCGCTTTTTCTCACTAGGAGGAGTCTGGGAGCCAGGTGCAGTGACTTTGTATTGAGCGTGCTCCGAGGCCGACAAACATCGCTTCTCTGTAAAGGGCTAGCAAACCTGTGTTTACGCTAAAGTTCCCTTTGGGTTTAGTATGTAGATTTAATAGGAGTTCACACTTCGGTCATTTCCAGTAGTAAGATGATTTGATAGATTTTACAAGCTTATGGTATTTATTTTCTTCCAAGAACCCAATCCTAAAAAGAGGCCCAGATGCCTCAATTGCAACAATATGAAAACATCCAGTCTGTACTCATTCTGTAGCTGCTGTTTCAGGAGATTGTACTACTGGTTTTCCAGGTGGCTCAGTCCGGCTGTCATCCCTCGAGGCTTGTGACCTCCCAGACATCAAACCCGCCACAGGGCCTTTGGGGATGAAGCCAAAGTATCACTCTCTTCAGACACTTCTCTCGGTCCTGGCTTCCCAAACCACAGAACTGTGTGTGGATCCAAGGGCACTTTGGAGGAGCCAGATTTTCTCTGAAACACAGATATGACCATGACTCTCCTTGTTTAAAGCCCCACATAGATGCCCCATTTCTTCAGCATCATACAAACTCCTTAAGTGTGCATTACGGGGCTCCGAAGTTACAGGGCCGCTATAGGACCCATCCCCTCAGTTTCGTTTATCACGCTCTGCATTATCGGCTACCCACCCCCCATGCTCCAGCCCCACTTTCAGGTCATTCTTTCTCTCTCCCCAGTCTTCCTCCTGCCTGAGAATATGGTAGCTTCTCGCGTACATGAAAAGTCCTGCTGCCGTATCAAAGTTTAGCTTATACAAGGTCTGTCCAGAAAAAGTCCAGCCATTGTTAATATAACGAGAACAGTTTGTGCAACATGGATGTAACCTGTTGGGAACTGGGTGGATCCTTGTCTTTTTAAATTACCACCATCAAGTATGTACTTGATTTGTGTTGATTGCCTGTTTGTTAGTTCTTTCACAAGCCTCCGAGCTCACTAAGGCAGGGACCACATGTGTGCCTTTCATCTCACAACACCTTGTATAACTAAAACAAAACACAACAAACAAAAAAACCCAATGCATCTTAAATGAATAAATGAATGAAAGAAATAGGTAATAAAGAGCTCACAGTCTAAGTGAGGAAATAGAAACTAAACTAAATAAACATATAACATAGATTACAGTATATAAGTACCAAGAGAATTGTATAGCAATTAAGTAACACATTTGCCACTTCCCATAGCTACTGTAAAAAGCCTCTAATCTCTCTAACCCCCTTTTCACACTTATAAAATAGGGACAATGATGTTAGTGGCTATGTGGTCTCTTGGTGCTTGGCTTTTTGCAGGAAAGATTTCACAATACAAGTCCAAGTGATTTTGAGAGTATGTTTATTAGAGCCAGGGACAATGAAACAAAGAAGGACTTAAGATAGAAGAGGCAAGATCATAGCAACAGGAGTGAGCCCAGACAGGGCCGCCTTGGCCCTTTGGAAATGTGAGGGAAAGTTGAGCCTAGGGGTGCATATCTTGGCTCTTTAGGAAAAAAAGTCACAGAGGCAGAAAGAGGCTGGGCTGTGTGGACTCAGCTGGGACAAGTTACTGAGTTGGAGAAAAAAAGCAAAGACACATGACCTAGGAAAGAAGGTGTCAGGGGAAGGCACTGGCATGCTCTAGAGAGACAGAGGCTCACACTGGGTCCTTTGCCTGAAGAGTTTTTGTCTGTTTTCTAAAGGTAGGAATTTTAGGGGAGGTCTCAGGGGAGGGTCTCAATAGTATATTCATCAGCCTTCTAGGTGTGTCCTTGCAGGGTCCTGGTCTCTACTGACTGATGTCAGGGAAAGGGGCATCAATCAGTGCAGCTGGTCCTGATGCCAGTGACAGCATTGGTTCACCTGGTTTTGCTGCTTTTCTGGGCCTGGAGCTGAGACACCATTGAGGCCTGGAAGTGACTTCAGTCTCTGTGGCCCACAGACCCAAGGCTCTGAGTCTAAAGTCATTAGACACTGTGCAGAGCCTGACTGTCATGAGGGCTTAATGCATTAGGCAGTGGTCGGCAAGGCAAAAAGAGGCAGCTGAACCAGCGTTGTGGGTGGGGCTCGTGCGAATCAGCCGTCTGTCTCTGCTTCCTAGTTCCACACTTGCCAAGGAATTTCCCTAGTTTCTTACTATGCTGCCTCAATAATACTTGCCCTGGTTACTATAGAGATAGTAAGAGGTTCAAATAAAGTAAGTAAAAAGCATTTTCTTTAGTATTCTGTGATGATAAACATGTGAAGTTCACAAATGGGAAATGTACCAGCCTTTACCTGGGTTTTGTTGCAAAGTCCTACAACAGCCCTGTCGGAACTTTAAAATCTGAGGAACTTTAAATTCTCCTGATGCCTTGATGGCACCTCAAACCAAGTAAATCTAAACCTTTTCTTGCATGCAAGATGCCTCAAGATTATCTGCAACAGCTTGAATGAGAATAATTTGTCCAGAAGCAATCTAGCAAAACAAACCATGCACAGAAATAAACAAACAACAACAACAAAAACCCACAACAAGCTGGACATTAGAATAATTTTGGTCAAAATAAAACTTAACCTGAACTCAATTACCTCAGTAATGATTTTCCTCCAATTTTAAACATCAAGTGGTTTTGTAACCATTTCTGTGTTCATAAGCAATTTAGAGATTTCCTTGTTTGACTCTGAAAATTGTCTTTTAGTTTTTAAAATTCTGGCCTGATTGTTAGCCACTATCCACATGCTGCATGATTTTGAAGAGTGAAAGTGTGATTCAGCCTGCATGGAAATATTCACCATGATAAATGTTACCAAATTAACCATTTCTGCCTACCACCCTGGGAGGAACAGAAGGACCGCGAGATCTCCCCTACCTACCTCCCATTTCACATAATACACAAAGTTTATTTGATCCAGAACCTATGGTTTGGCTGTACCCCTTTCTTTTTCTCTAAAATTTGTTCAAAGTGTTACAGAAATCAGGCGTTGGTGGTCACTGTCTCAAGAAAAGGCTCTCAAGACAAAGGCAAGTGTGTGGAATAAAATCGATCTCCTTTCCACAAGAGGAAGAGAGAAGGTTAGAAAGAACTTTGAGTGCATGTCCACTGGCCCCAGAGATGACTGTTCCTACAACAGCCTGCGTTTTTTAACCATCTCCCTCTCCAATATGCACACAGACGCCACATGGTATCAGCATCTTTCTATTCCTCACAATCAAAGAATCTCTGGGACAATTAAATGTGCGGTAATTAGTAGCTTGCTTAAACAAATTACAAAGTAGTTTGTGCTGCATGCTCCAACCAATGCATTTTTTTCTATAAAAAGAATCTGGATGCATAAATAACATGTATTAATATTAGTTATCTCAAGGATGGGTTTATACCTTGTATTACTTGTTCAAATTTTCATGTTATTGTAATGAGTCGGCATTGTTTTGTGCTAAACATATCAGAAACTTAATAAGGGGAAGGATCTCTATTGTTGCAGATTTGGGTGGTTATAAAAATCCTTTATTTTTAGACTATTTAATATAGTTCAAGGAAAAGAGTTTGAGTGATTAATCCACACTGTTTGAGACTGAATCCTGGCTGCGCACTTACTGGGTGTGATAGTAGGCCAATTTCTTTCTTTCTTTCTTTTTTATATTTTATTTATTTATTTTTCGAGAGAGGGGAAGGGAAGGAGAAAGAGTGGGAGAGAAACATCAATGTGTGGTTGCCTCTCATGCGCCCCCTACTGGTGGTGATCTGGCCAGCAACCCAGGCATGTGCCCTGACTAGGAATCGAAACAGCAACCCTTTGCTTCACAGGCTTGTGCTCAATCCACTGAGCTACACCAGCCAAGGCCCAATTTCTCTCTTTTGTTTAAAGCTGAAATTATTAAGGTAGACCTTCAAACAGAAATGGAATTGGAAAGTCTGAACAGTATATAAAGCCTTAAGTAAAAGAGTTTCATATAAAGGTATTCAGGTGAAAATGCCATTGCATCAGTTGGCTTTTGTGCATAACAAACCAACCCCAAGTTCAGTGACCTTGAATATCCATGAATTTGGCTCATAATTCCAAGAGGGCACAAATTTGGGCGGGGCTCAGCTGCACTCACGTGGGCATCCGTGGTCAGGTGTGGTTCCCTGTGCTCATCCTCCTCTGGGTTAGAAGGGGTTTGCTTTCCTGGTGGCTGTGCAGGTTTCTGAGGGAGGGAGCGACCCCCACGACCTCCTGCCCAGATTCTGCAACTTGCAGAGCGACCATCCAGTGCATAGAATGCTTCTGGTCTCAGTGTGTTGTATTTTTGCCTAAGAGAGCATCGGGGGCTACTTCCATCACGTTTCAGGCGCCCACCGGAAGTCCCTGAAGTCCCCGCCCCCTTCCGTCAGTACTAACAATAGTACGGACAGGAAGAGTTTTATCACCATTACGGGGCTGCTTTTGTGAAATTGGTAGAACGCGTGATGATTCCATCAGCCTCACAACCACCAACATCTTCATCATAGTTAAGCTTTATTTCAAACCTGCTAGGTCGTGTAGAGATCACCGACACAGAATCTTTCTGCATCTATTATAATTACCATATATGTTTATAGATAAGGAGGCCAGATTCTAATGAAGATTAAAAAATGCCAGCCCCTCGAACGTGGCAATCCTATCTGTGTTGTTAACAGCCTCAAGCCGAGCGCACAGCACACAATTTCCTGAGTGAGTGAATGAATGACTTGCCCGAGAACACACAGCCATTAATCAAAGAGTCTAAACCAGAAGTAACTTACTCCATAACTCATGCTTTAAATCACTAAAAATCCTCACTTTTCCTATACTCGTGACCAACACTGATAAGGAAGAAATTGGAAGTCATGAAAATGGGTGGCTTATT